GGCTGACTGCCCTCCTGACTTAGAGGATAGCATCGTTGTTAGAACATTATATGAGTAAGGATGAAGGAACACTTTTGAACACAGGGAACGTGGAAACAGTTCTTCAATTAGGCTGTCACTAAATGAACAATTCATTACCCATAGTTCCTCCACATGGACTCACTTAGGGCAGACAGCTAAATGGAACATGGTGGCTGGCCTGGCTTTGAGTTGATACCCTTAGTCCCCTAACCCAAGTTCCATCATATCTTCATAATGCATCTGTCATTCAGGGGAATGCTTGGAAACAGTGAAGTCCTATTATAGTTGTTGTGGATATGGATGGGTATAGTGGTTAGGGTTTTGTGTCAACTTGCTGGGCCAGGATTCTCAATGGTTTGACAGTTAAGCCGTCATGATCTCCATTGACGAGATCTGACATAATGCCATCAGGATGGGATCTGTTATAAGCAGCCAGTCAGTTGAAGGTAGGTTTCCTCAGGGGTGTGTCCTGCAACATCTTCCAAAGATCAAAGGAGAGAGAAGTGAGCCGGAAATGAGAACCCTACTGCCACCAAGAAAGAAGTGCCATGAACCGACTGTGTTATTTAGACCTGGGGGCCCCAGCACTGTGAGGATCCTAAATCCAGGGTAACACTGATGCCAAGACACATGGAGATCTCCAAGGAATCGGAAAAGCATGCTGAAAGGAGACAGGGACCTTTCCCCGCAGCTGACAAAGAGAGACGGCCTTCCCCCAGAGCTGACACTCTGAATTTGGACTTCTAGCCTCCTAAGGTGTGAGAGAATAAAGTTCTGTTAAAATCACCCTCTTGTGGCATTTCTATTTTGTTGTTGTTGTTGCTATGTGCTGTGGAGTTGGTTTCGACTCATTGCGACCCTGTATAGGGTTTTCTGAGGCTGTAAATCTTAATGGGAGCAGAAAGCCTCATCTTTCTCCCGCGGAACAGCTGGTAGTTTCAAACTGCTGACCATAAGATTAGCAGCTCGATTCGTAACCACTGCTCTACCAGAGCTCCTTTATGTTGTTGTTGTTGTTAGGTGCCATCGAGTCGGTACTGACCCATAGTGACCTTATGCACAGCAGAGATCCTTTATACTGTTATGTGCCGTGGAGTCGGTTCCGAATCATAGCGACCCTGTACAGGATTTCCGAGGCTGTGAATCTTTACGGGAGCAGAAAGCCTCATCTTTCTCCCGCTGAACAGCTGGTAGTTTCGAACTGCTGACCGTAAGATTAGCAGCCCGATTTGTAACCACTACGCTACCAGAGCTCCTTTATGTTGTTGTTGTTGTTGTTAGGTGCTATGGAGTCGGTACCGACCCATAGCGACCTTATGCACAGCAGAGCTCCTTTATAGTTGTGATTAAATGCCGTCGAGTTGCCTCAGACTTATAGCGACCCTGTATAGGGTTTCCAAGGAGCAGCTGGTGAGCTTGAACTGACAACCTTGCAGTTCAAACCAGCTTTGCAATCCAGCACTGTATGACATTGGGCGTGAGCTACTTTTCTGTTATTACATGTAAAGTCGATTACGTTGCTGTATTTTCAGTTTAACCAAGCTGACAAGATCAGAACCATGATACTTATCAGAACAGATTATGTAAATTAGTATGTTTGTATCACCTTGGCTTTGAACAGCTATTGGTGGGTCCCATCATTGGATGAACAGTTTCTACGTCTTGGTGTTCTGTCCTTGTAGCTCTGGGGGCTACCCCACCATATAGGTAGATTTCACTTCATACCAGTCTTTCAGAATTTTTTTGTTGTTATCTTCAGGTCTTTGTTGTTGTTATCTGCTGATGTCGTCACTGTAATTGTTGTTGCTAGCTGGCGTTAACTTAGCCTCCAATGCATGGTGGCTCCAGGATCAGTGGAGCCAAAGCCTGCACAGTCCAGAGCCATCCCCATAAGCCATGGAGCCATCAGGATCCAGAGGGTTTTTGGAAGTAGATCGCCAGGTCTTTCTTCCTAGATGCTAGATGCTCTTAGTCTGGAAGACCCACTGAAACCTGTTCAGTGTCGTAGCAACACATAAGCCTCCTCTTATGTGTGGTGGTTTGGCCATGCGTGGGGGGGCATTGACTGAGAACTGAAGGCAGGTCTCTCGCATGGAAGGCAAGCATTCTGCCACTGAGCCACCAACCACCTCATTACATGTTTGATGCCCCAGCTTTTGTAAGTGGCATTGAGAATGTCCCCTCACAGTCTTCTAGTGGGGAATGTAACCCTGTTTCCCCTTTTTGCTGTGAAACATCAGGGTAGCTTTGTTTTGAAGCTAGTGCATCTTGTTTTGAGGCTACCGCACCTTTGGAAAAGCACAAAGGGGTATACATGCACAGCATCTTCATCTCACCAACACCCTGAGACGGAAATTAGAGCACCAGATGGGATCTCCAAAAGAGAAGCGTCCAAAGCTCAGCTCCCCACCTCTCTTGAAAACAACCCAGCCTGCTTAGTGTGAGTTGTGGTTGTTATGGTGATGAGTAGGCTCTTGGTGCGGAGCGAGTTTAAGAAAATGCTTTCAAAAGGAAAGGGTCTAGCCTGTATAAGCTTTAGAGAAATGTTCCCATTATAATGTGGGTTTGAGTCCTGTGTCGCCCCAGGATATTCCATACTGATGCCCTGCATTGAAACGTCTCAGGAAGGGGCACTGGCCAAGTCATCCATTCTGTCCTGAAGGTATGTTTTTATGCAGGAAGAGATAGTTTTTTCTTCACACAAAGAAACAAACGCTAGCCAAGTTCTAACCCCTCACAGGACTTATCTGCCAAAGGCACCGGAAGTCAAACAGCATCGCTGCCCTTGTCTCTGTCCATGGTGCTGTCTGGCACCGTAGTCAGAGTCCCAGGCCCTTCTTCCAGTAGAAACATTTGATTCCTCAAAGGGTAGCACTTGTAAGTGGGTGTGGTTATCTAGTTTGGGTAGGTTAGTAAATTTCTTTGGGGGTTTTCTATAAATTTGGGGGATTACTAGTGCAAGTTCAATTTCTAATATGAACTCACTCTTGGGAAGGCTATGTTAGAGAACTTTCAAATAACGCAATGAAATAATGACATGTTCAGGTAGACCCTGAAATAGCAACATGTATTCAACAAGGGGAGTCCTAGTGTGGCGCTCTGGGCTAATGCGTCAGACTACAAAGCTACTGGTTCAAGCTCACCAGCTGCTCCTTGGAAACCCTATTAAGGGTCGCTATGGGTCGGAATTGACTCGATGGCACTTAACAACAACAACATTCAACAAGGAGTCCTGGTCTGGCGCTGTGGGTTAATGCACTGGACTGCAAAGTTGGCTTGAACTGCAAGGTCGGCGGTTCAAGCTCAACAGCCACTCGCAACCTGGAAACCCTATACAGAGTCGTTATACGTCGGAAACCAACTCGATGGCACTTAGCAACAATCAACAGAGAGTTAGTTGTCCATGAGCATGCCCCACATAAGTAGTCTGCTTAAGAAAGATGTGAGCATCAAGTGGGGGAGATTTTCCTGTTTTCTTTTTTTTTGGGAAAACTTTGCTTGCTATCGGTAGGTCAGAGCAAGCAGGAAGTGCAGAGCCAGGGTGGGGCAGTTGGGAGAGTAAACCTGGCTTTAGAGGGGCCTTTTGAGGATTGCTCCCAGGGCCAGGCTCAGTCCTATAAAAATGAGCTCCAACGTGCAGCTTTGTCAGCACTGGCGTCCACTGGGGAGTAGAGCCCCCAGTGGACTGGCCTGTTTGTTTAGGGATGTTTGGGAAAAAAGAATTGTAAAAGATGGAGGAGCATGCAGGCAGACCCAGTCATGCCAGAAGTTCTGTCTTGGGACAGATTAGGGCAACCGAGAGAGAGCAGGGCAGCCCGAGAGCTCTCCAGCCTCAAAGGCAGGGGCAGTTCTTTGGGCTTTTAGCAGAAGGAATTAGAGAGGCAGGGGCCAACCACATCTGACCTGCCTGAGGTCTACCGTTTCCAGCATCCCTTAACTCCAGGAATGACAGAAATGTGTAACTTGTACCCAGATTTCTCTTGGAGTGTGACGATGACTACCTGTTCACTTCTGTGTTCAAATCCTCCCCATCCTCAAAGGTCTTCCCTAAAGCCCCGTCCTACCCATCTCATCTCTTTCTACCCCCTCTGCCTCTGAAGTTGGTGGTCTGCACAGTCAGCCTGTGATACTTTGTAGGAATCCTTTCGGCTGTTCCATGCATGTCGCGTCAGTTCTCAGGACTGAGAGGTTAGGGCCAGGACCTTTATTTTTTTACTTCACTGCCCTAAGGCTTAACCTACATCAAGGAACAAGAGAAGCATAGGACAGGGCAGGAGGATGACTAGCAGCTACACCTTGCTGTGTCGCCTAAGTCGTAGGGAAACCCAGCAGTTGCACCGACCCTTAGAGCCCAAGTCTTCTCTGCTATGCAGCAGAAGTAGCCATCTTTTACATCATCTTTTACATCAAAGGGCTTTGCAGAACCTAAAGTAGTAGGTAATGTCGCACCAGCAGTGTTGCTTTTCCTGTCATTGTATTGTCCTCATTGTCTTGCTACTGACTCATCATTTATTTCCAGAAAGTCCTAGAACCTGACTTAATTCTCTAGACAGTGATTTCAGATTCAATTGCTTACATTGTAGATGGCTTCAAAGTGGCGCCAGTATTCCTAAACCTTAAATTTTATTAAATGGAGGTGATCCTGGCTTGAGACTTTCTTTAAGAGAAAAGTTAGCAAATGTCTGTGAGGCAAATGAGATGGGTTGATTTGGAATTGTTCTCAGTGGTTGCTTTAAGTGTTTTAAAAATACAATTTAAAGCTTTTTTAGAAGTATAAAAGTATATATGTTAGTTTCAGAGAAGTTTAAAAGAGAAGACACATTTATACATGCAACTCCATATTCACATGTATATACATGAATATGCCTTTTACAAACTTGGTATCGTGTTGCATGTCTGTGCAGCCAGTCTTGTGTACTGTTTTGTTTTTTTTTTTGTCTAGCATATAAACACAACCTTTTCAACTTCCTGGTCTCCAGGTCTGCAATGGTTTGGAGCAGCCAAGGAAACAACAGCGCTCAGATCTCAATGGTCCTTTGGAAAACAACAACATCACCGAGGTAATGTTTCCCAAGGGTGGGCATTTTGAGGTCATTATGAAGCTGCCCACCCATGGTTGTCTGTTTGCCCACCCTCTCTCCATTGCTCCCATCCCATCAGGCGCCTGGGTGAGAGAGCATTCAAGTTGTCCCTCTTGGGGAGGACATGAGGGACATTCCTGCGGAGTCAGGACCACGCCTCAGTGTGTCTAGGTGTTGGCTGAGTCTCGTCCTACTATATTGCTTGACAGCGCTGTTCTATACCAAGGCCCCAGTTGACATTTCAGGCTGCATAATTCTTCAGTGTGGGAGCGGTGTTGTGCACTGAGGCATGTTTAGCAGCATTCCTGGTCTTTATTTACTAGTTGCTAAACATAGAGGACCCTCTTCCCCCAGGCCTGGCAACCAAAAATGTTTCCAGACACGGCAAAAACTGTTTCTATCCCTGGGGGCAAAAGCATCCCTGTTGAGAAACTTTCGTAAAACAACAGCATGATTGAGAAGAAAAGTAAGACAGTCATGGTGGTGGTGTTTCTTAGTGGCATCTGGCTGATCCTAACAACTCACAGTGACCTGGGATAGGATTTCCAAGGAGTGGCTGGTGAGTTTGAACCGCTGAACATGAAGGTCATTCTTGTGGTTCAGTGCTTATCCTACAGTGCTAAACCAGAACTTCATGGTTGCTGTTGCTGGATTGCCAATGAGCGGCTGCTGGGCCTGAACCCCCGACCTTGCAGCTCAAACTGTCCTTGTGGTCTAGCACATTATCTTAAAGCATTACACTGGGACTCCATGGTAGAAAGCATTAAAATGAGACCTTAAGCAAATTATTTACCTTTTCTGGGGAACGTACTTTTGATTAGATCTTCTAATTTTGATGAAAAGTATGGTCAACCCTGGATTGGGGCCCAACTCCCTTTATCTTGCTTTGAAACATATGTCAAGTTATTTTGATGCTACCATGAGGAGCAATTCAGTTGGAAGAACTCAGGCTAATTTGAAGGTCTTTAGGAGTCCTGGTGCGGTGCTGTGGGTTAATGCCCTGGGCTGCAAAGTCGGTGTGAACCGCAAGGTCAGCAGTTCCTCGGAAACCCTATATATGGTCACCATGGGTTGGACCTGAATGGATGGCACTTGACAACAACAAGTTTTAGGTAGTGCACCCCCAGGGTTTCCATTGGGAATCGATTACATGAGCCCCCTCCCAACACCATGTCGCCTGAAAGAGACTAATTTGCTGTATAGAGTTGGGGAACACCAGTCACTCGTGGGGCTTGTTAGCTTTTCATATAACATTAGATGTTACCTACTGACAACTGCTGTGTGTTTTATTTCTTTCCTATTTCAAACAGACGAAGAAGGTGGCGTCATTTCCAAGTTTCGTGGCTGGTAAGTGCCTGTGAATTTTCTCTTGGTAGTGAAAAGTCCTTTTCCTTTTTGTTTCTCCTGCATTGCTTACTTGGAAAACACACCTCTAAGATGAAGACAGTACAGTCACAAACCAGGAACTTAGGCATTTGATGATTTGTAAGCTGTGTATACCATATAGTAAGGACGGTAGACCCAGCAGAATGACATGCTTTGATACAGGGAGGAATTGGCCATGTCATTTACGTAAACCCTTAGTCATTGAATCGCACATGACCCTGATGTGTGATTCATAGATAGAAGTGTATGGAGCTAATTATAAAATTATACTTTTTATTGTGGTAGATGTAATTGCATCCAAGTTCAGACTATTAGTTTTGTTGTTGTTGTTGTTGTTGTTTTAGACTCTCTATTTCTTTTCTACCCTCCCTTCTTTTTTTTATGGGGGTTAATAGTATGTTTCAACATTCTATCATAAACACAACTATGGCTTTGTTCTGTACTAATTCCATTGATGGCCAATTAGGCTGTCTTCATCTTTTTGCTATTGTGAATAATGCTCCAATGACTATTGGAGTAAATATATCTACTCGTGTCCTGGCTCCTATTTCTTCTGGATATATACCAAGTAGAGAGATTTCTGGGTCATATGGTATTTCTGTTGCCAACTTTTGGAGGAAGTGCCATACCATTTTCCACAGTGGTTGAACCATTTTACACTCCCAGTGGCAATATAGGAGGGTCCCAGTCTCTCCACCTTTGCCAGTTTTGTTATTTTCTGTTTATGGGTGTGTGTTTTTCAATGTTGCTAATAATGCTGGGGGTCCTGGTGTGGCACTGTGGGCTAATGTGCCAGACTGTAGTCATTTGAACTACCAGGTTGGTGGTTCAAGCTCACCAGCTGCTCCTTGGGAGCTCTATATGGGGTCGCTATGGGTCGGAATCGACTCGATGGCACTTACAAGCAGCAGTAACAATAATGCTGGGTTAACACAGTATCTCAATGTTGTTTTGATTTGCATCTCTTTACTGGCTAATGATCGTGTCCATTTCTTCTTATGTTTGTTGGCTGCCTGAATGCCTTCCTTGGTGAAGTGTCTGCTCATGTCCCATGCCCATTTTTTAATTAGGTTGTTAGTGTTTGTTTTGTTTTTTTGTAGATGTATTCTAGTTTTCTATAAATATTAGAGATTAGTCCCTTTTCTGATAAGTCATTACAGAAGTTTTTCTAGAATGTGGGTAATCTTTTTACTATTTTGGTGAAATCTTTTAATGCATATAAGTGTTTAGTTTTTATGAGGTCCTAGTCATCTCTTTTAAGGAGCTCTGCTAGCGTCGTGGTTATGAATCAGGCTGCTAACCTCAAGGTCATTAGTTTGAAACTAGCAGCCCTTTCATGGGAGAAAGATAAGGCATTCTGCTCCTGTAAAGATTTACAGCTTCGGAAACCCTGTGCAGGGTCTCTATGAGTCAGAATCAACTCCACGGTGCATAACAAGAAGTCATCTCTTTTGTCTTCTGCTGTTCATGTGTTTTCAATTATGTTTGATAGTATATGTATGCCATGTATTGCTGTTGTTGTTGTTAAGTGCCACTGAATGAGGAGCAGCTGGTGAGCTTGAACCGCCAACCTTGCAGTTCAAACGACTTTGCAGTCTGGTGCATTAACCCACAGTGCCACACCAGGACTCCAGCTATGCCATCTTGAATGCTAAGAAGGGTCGGGCCTGGTTAGTACTTGGTTGCCGTATGAGAGCCCTTAAATTTGTCCCTATTTTTTCATTGATGCTCTTTATAGTACTAGGTTGTACATTTAGGTCTCTAATACTTATTATCTCAAGCGAGTAAAGTTTTGCTCAAGGTAATACAGAAACGGCTACAATCATACATCGACAGAGAACTTCCAGAGGTTCAA